TGGAATACCTCAGTGGTGGGTACCTCAGGGGTGGGGGAGGCTCTGGGAAACCTAGTAAGGGCCCAGGACCGCACTGCATCACCTCCCTAGCTCACACATGGCCTGCCCTAAGCCACCCATGCCTTCCCCACTCCCTGAGGCAACCCGTGCACCACTTACCGCTTCACTGGGTTCCCACCAGTCTAGGCCTGTTTTCCCACCCCATTGATCATATTTGAGAGCCAGCTGCTTCACCCCTAGATCCTCCTGGAAGCCACATGGCCCCATCCCAGAAGCAGGCACCATTTTGGAGCAGCCACAATTCATTGTAGCCGCTCCAAAAATTGTTACCACTTTCAGGATGGTGCCACGTGGCCTCCACTATGGAGGAAGACTGCGTGGCAGAATGGTTGCTTCTCAAAGGCCTACCAAAAATATAAGTGACCAATTCCTGATAGGGTGGGGAGGAGAGTGTGGGACCCAGCAGGATGGAAAGCAGGCCCACGGTCTGCTGGAACACAATGGGACAGGATGGAGGGGAAATGGGCAGGGGGGGAGCAGTGCAGCATCTCTGCAGACAGTTATAAGGGCAGATAGATTGACAAGCGCCCAAACTTCATTCACGTAATCTTAAGGGTACTGCAGCGGCCATACCTTCGGGCACAAGTTGTAAGTCCCTTCATTCAGTATTGTTGTAATTTCCAAGTCAAGAAGTATCTGTACTCAACCAAACAGAAAATCAATTATCTCTAGCAAATAATCTTGTTACTTTGTGGCAACATCATGCATTAGCTACAAAGTGGCTGAAGAAAAACATCAGAGGCCCTCTACCAGTTGAAAGAGACTATAAGATAACTCGATCTAGTCCAGGAGTAGGCAACCTTGGCTCTTTTATGACTCGTGGACTTCAACTCCCAGAATTCCTGAGCCAGCATGGCTGACTCAGGAATTCTGGGAGTTGAAGTCCACGAGTCATAAAAGAGCCAAGGTTGCCTACTCCAGATTTAGTCCAATGTTTCTCAGCCATGGCAACTTTAAGACGTGTGAACTTCAAAGCAATCCTCTAAAATAATCATTCAGCCTTCTTGTAAACTGGTGGTTTCCAGATGTACTGGACTATATATACCCTTAATTCTTAGCTAGTATGAGCATTCTGATACTGGCTGTTGGAATTATCCAACACTGAGAAAGGGAAATGCTGGCTGGAGTAAGATACAATACTTCATTATGGACTGCCCATCACATACAATATAATTCTGTCTTTCTTAAATGCCTCAGAGGGGGTAATTTTAATGTTCAAATACATAACAAAAAGTAGTTAATGTAATAGAGCTGTACTGTGCCGGAGGCTGCAAAAGGACAGGTGAGGCATGAGTGAGGCAGCTGTTTGTAGCATTTTAAAACAACTATGTCCATAGCAATTCTGGGGAAAGGAACAGCTGCTTTAAGGTATTGTAGGCAGATGCTACATCCCCAGTCAGAAGCAAGATAACATTCAAAGCAGTTCATAGTCAAGTTAATATACATATACAGTAACACACTTGCATCATATTTGATTAAAAAACCTTTTTAATTCTTATTCAGTTCTCGGAGTTTCATCACCTACATCATCATAACAGCAACAACCCAGGGACAAATTGGAGGTATCACCAAATACTGTACAAGGTAAAGAATAATTAAGATTAAAAGAGGCAGAAAAATGTAGAACAGTGTTAATGGAAATTAAAAAATAATGCTATAGAAGTGGAACCTTCAACAGAATGAATGTGACAGATAGAAAATAAAAGTGATAGAAATATTTGGCATGAAATTAAAGTGAGGAAATATTAGAAGTGGCAATTTAGGGATCAGCAAGGGAATGAATGTTGTATATTGAAGGGTAAATTGAAATTAGCGATAGAAATGTTAAAGCCCAAGAAAAAAAAAAGTATGAAAAGTAAGGTATAGATCCTGTAACAATGTGATTCAGTTGCCATAATTGGAGAATATAAAGTATGGAAGTAAGAAAAAAATGTGATATCCCCTGGACTGTTTAGTGTACTCATAGATAAATCTACTATATAAAAAACTAGGCAATCCATTATCCATTGGATCATAATTTCAGAGATATTTCCTTAAACAGAGAAACAGAATGACCACAGATAGGCAAAACAGTGGGAGTGGGAGTGACTTCAGATTTTCCGCTGGCTTCCCCATTGACTTTCCTTGTAGGAGGCAGATAGGGAGCACTGGAAATGGCAATTACATGACTGTAGATCAGTGGTCTCCAACCTTTCCAGCTTGGCAGCTCAGACTGGGGAGAAGGGGAAAGAAGGGAAGGTTCTGTGCGAGTGGCATCTGCATGAGCATGCACAGCTCCATTTGTTGCTTGCAGCAGGCGTGCACACTTGCATAAGCGTTTGCTGCTTGCACAAGCACCCACTGCTCACACAAGTGGAGCTCTGCATGTGAGCACAAGCGCCCTGTTCCGAACAGGCCGCAACCTGGGGGTTGAGACCCCTGCTGTAGATGACCATTGTGGTGCAGCAGTACCCAAGCAGCCACAACCTTTGCCAAATTTCAATTCCATGGGAATCAGGAATCCCATTCTGTAAGTTAGTCCCTTTGAGATACATTAATTCAAAAATTGTTGCCCTACTACAGTGGTTCTCAACCTGTGGGTCGGGACCCCATTTGGGGTCGATCGACCATTTCACGGGGGTCGCCAAGCAAGGCTGTCCGCCATTATTTTTGTCCATTTTTTTTGTCCGCCATTTTTTTCCCCTTTTCAGGCGGGTGCCTTACCTCCCTTGGGCTGGGCCAGCTGGTGGTCGGCCTGCTCCGTCTCTGCCGCTTGCCAGCTACGCCTCGGCCGGCGCAGGGGGCGGAACCACGCATGCGCAGCGCTCCCAGGCAGGGAAAGTCCTCGACTTATGACCGGTTGGGTAGTCCTCGACTTACGACCGGTTTAGTCCTCGACTTACGACCGGTTGGGGTCGCGGCATTAAAAAGGTTGAGAACCACTGCCCTACTATGATGTATTGTTTGGCCCAACTGAAGGCTAGAAACAATTAAACAAAGTTTTAGCAATAGAGAGATGTTTTGTGGTGAACTGGTTGGAAAGATAAATATAGCTGGAGTTTTTATGGAAGTGATATTGTGTTAGCTGAGATCCTATGTGATATGTCATGAAAGTTATATGGATTGTATGATACAATGAGTACTTTGGATCTGAAATTTAATATAGCAAAGATTAAGCTAGCTTTGCTTAGAGAAATAGAAATTGAATGAATAATTGTAAGTTATAAGTGGCAAAAATGATGTAATTATACTATGTGGTTTGCTGCAAGGAATATTTGTCAAAAGAAGCAAAAAGGACTATTTATAAAAGTATATTTCTAATTCCTTTATTATATGAAAGAGAGAGTTGGGTATGTCAGGAGAAACAGAAAGACTGAATGCAGTAGGCAAGGGAGAATTAAATGGAGAAAAACAATTGCTGGAATGTGAATCGAATAAGAACATCAATATAAAAATAAATACTCTGCAATGGCTGGTCACAGACAGAGAATGAATTAAGGTCAAATTGTGGAAAAATACATGAAGGAAGAGTGAATGAACTGAAAGAAAGGATAAAAATGAGAAAGACGTTAGAGGGAATTGATGAGATCTTCAGTAAGACAGGGATAAGAAATTCAAGAAACAAAGGCAATGTGTAAGCAGTGGATGGGCATGAGAAAAATAAAGATGGTTTTCAATTACCAAGAGATAAGGAGAGGTACAACGAACAAAGCTGGAATAATATTTTCTTTTCTTTTTCTTGTTTTGTGCATTTAATTTCTGTATTGTTTACTACTCCTTTTCTGCACTTTGCATTATGCTGCTTACCCAGAAAGGGAATAGCACGACAGCGTGTGTGTGTGTGTGTGTGTGTGTGCGTGTGCGTGTGCGTGTGCGTGTGTAATATGATCTCATTGTAAGCAGCCAAAATAACAAAATTCATCCAAAAGAAAACTAATAATATCAAGCTTGGGGAAAAATCAGTTTTGCTGATGGTTTCAGAAAGAAGGGGGCTTTCTAACAAAAGAGAGCAAAGGACAATAATGATTAAATATGCTAAGTGAGTACAGAATTGTAACTATCTGTTGGGTAAAAAATGGTAAGCTCTGTGAAACAAAATGGAAAAGGTGGAATTCTGAATGAATCAATTGCAGATTTTAAAAAACCTAATCAAATACTCTCTTCTATCCCTGGAGTGTCTAATTAATAGATAGATAGATAGATAGATAGATAGATAGATAGATAGATAGATAGATAGATAGATAGATAGATAGATAGATAGATAGATAGATAGATAGATAGATAGATAGATNAGACAGACAGACAGACAGACAGACAGACAGACAGACAGACACGTACGCGTACACACACACACACACACATCATCAGGAATTGTGTGTACCGGTTCCATATTACATCAGCTGATCACCCAAGCAAAACTGCAATTCTTTTTAAGACATGTTATGGTAACAGTTCCCTCCATATTTCAGATGGATTACGCACTGGTGGCTATGCACCAAAATCAGGTATAAACCAACCCTGAAAATACTGAGCACTATCTAGATATAAAAAGATTAATATAACGTTCCTTAACTTGCCCTTTTGGACTCCCATGAAATTCTTAACTGGACTGCAGAATGTTTGACAAAAACAAGAAGAAAGCATCAGAGGTATTATTTTTAATCTGAACTGTTTACTGATTTCAGAATTAAAATACTCTAAAATATTGTTGAATCATATTTCAACAATTCAGCTCAACATGAAAATGCACACTACTGTAAATATTCCTATCCATGCTTTTCCTGATAGCATAAGGCCATACTAAAATACTAGTTATCATTATCTTATAAAAGAAAAAAATGAGCAGTCTTTTTCTCCACTTTGCATATATTTATTTACCCACGAATAAATATTTTAAATGGGTACTTAAGAATTGTTCCCAGAAAAAAAAATGAAATAAAAAATTAAACAGAATTTTTTACAATAACTTCATAAATCAGTAATGGCTTTTACTATCACAGGATAGTAATCACAGGATTTCAAAAAGGATTTTTTTTAAGTCTTAGATGTGGTTTTCCTTGAAATCTGGGAAAACCATTGAAAACTGTCTTTCAATTTCTTGCAAACATGAATGAAATCCAAAATAAAAAAACATAAGTTCTTTTGTCCTTCCATTTCCAATCCATCCAAATAAAGTAACTGATCTTCTATAATCAAATATAGAATAAGCACGGTTTTATGTAGCAGAATCGTTTTATATTCAAAGACTATTGAATTCAGGAAGATCACGACGTAATCGTATTGCCTTCAATTTTTCCACTTTAATTTTTGCTCTCAAAAGTTCTTCTTCCAACTGCTGTCTCCTTTTCAACCCATCCCTTTTTTCTTGGATATAGAGCCCAATTTTCCTTTGATTTTCCAAAATTATGTGATGTTCTTCTTTTAGCATTTGCAACATTTGTGGATCATACCCTCCACATGCTGGCCTAAATCGTTCTCCACTTTCGAGCCTAAAAAACTCATCTCGCCTGGGGATAGGCGATGGAGATAGCATTCTTATATCCACAGAAGACAGGGAAGTTGATGGAGATCTCTCCATGACATGGACCATATGTTGCTGATCTCTTTGTTCCAAGTTATCCTGTGTTTGCAATTCAAGTATTAGTGAAGGTGGTGGCTTCACATCCTCTTCTTCTGGATCCAATTCCAGTGTGATGGCAGCAGGATGGTGCTCCAACATTAGCTGAGGAGAACTTGTAGTAGCAACTGTTTCTTTTACCAGGGTAGCACTAAAACGGAATAATATTTTAGGCATTAGAGAACAGAGTCTTCTCTAGCCACATTTGTAAACACAAAATAGCATTAACTGACATTACTGAGTCCATAAAAGCTAAATAGGCAGACACGATTAGTAACTGACTAAAAGACTACTTGGAAAGTCCTGGACTGTAGGCTAGACTGGGCAACTGAAAAACTTTTCACAAGAAGGCAATGGCAAATACTGTAACTTACATTTTTACTAAGAAGACTACATAAAGTTGTCTATATAATCACCAAGAATCGAGCCCAAATCAAGGAGGCTGAATATTTTTAATCAGCCTCTGAGCTATTTGTACTTTGATAAAAGGAGAATCATCACAACTGTTTATGTGTATATGGGCTGCCAGGAGAGACAATAGAAAAAGAGAGAGAATAATAGCATGGAGCAGTTAAACCTTGAACACTTCTTGTTTGCATAATTCTCTTCTCAAGGTGGCTTCCTTCCCTAAGTATTCTTTTTTCCTGAAAACATGGACAAGAAATCAATGGCTTTTCAGAAGCTGCAGAATTACAGCTCCCAGCAGGCAGAGGTTAGTATGGCCAATAGTGAATAATGCTCCAAGTTGTAGTTCAGCAAGTTCTGGAGGGCCACAGGTTCTTTCCCTCTGTCTTAAGGTATTTATTTCCATATCTGCACTGCACATACCCTCCAAAATTGCTTACTAGTCAGAAGGATCTTGAATATCATTAACCAGAGAGAGTCCACATAGGTTACTATTATTTGGACTCGTTCCAATCTTCCCCTCTCTCAAGGCTGTGACCGCTGCAGAGGACTTCAGGGAATGTTAGGGACAGTTCCTCACCTGGAACCGGACTGAGAAGAGCATTTAGAAAGCTAAGCAGCTTTCAAGTACCCTCCAATCTAGCAGTAAGTCAGTGAATGACCCTGCTCTTCCCAGAAAATACTGAAAGGAAAGGAGACAGGAAAATCATCTTCTCACCATATAGTGGCTTAAGAAACATTGAAGATAGCAACAGTGAAAAACTGTACCCACTGGGATGGGTGGCCTTGTATTTCCAGTCCCTTTCTTTCCTATGTTTCAGGGAATTACTCTTCATTAAAGACAAAATAAGAATATAAAGTTTTCTGGGGAATTAACATATCTATTTTAAGTGAAAAACACTAGGAAGAAAAAAAATTAAAATGCCTTTAAAAACACTTCTGGTCACTGGTAAATTTGGGAAGAGGTATACATGAGGTTAGGTATCTATGCAGCCCTTGTACCATAGCATGTTCATGCACTATTTTTTTTTTTGAAATAAAAGCAATTTTGGTATAACATAATTTAATATAGGTCTGCTTATTATTTATCAGCTCCAAAGGATCTTCCTGTTCCCACTACAAAGTACAGATTTATCTAAAGATATGGTGAGAACCTCATTGTTGAATGAAAGTTTTCCTGGACAAAAAAAAAAAGTTTTAAAAGGACAGAGATTTTCATTTCCTGTCATTGCTGCTCCATTAAAACTCCTCCTCCTTTTGAAATATTTGTTTTAAAATAAATTATTGAATAATTGATTATTCAGCAATCTTCCATTATTATTGCATGGCAGTTCATAGTTGTTCCTTCAGCTAGCTCAGGGGTCCTCAACCTTGGCAACTTTTAAGACTTGTGGACTTCAATTCCCAGAATTCCTCAGCCAGCAAAGCTGCCAGCAAAGCTGCCTGAGGAATTCTGGGAATTGAAGTCCACAAGTCTTAAAGTTGCCAAAGTTGAAGACCCCTGAGCTAGATCATATATTGCAAGTGTAGTCAATTCCTCTAAAGAAAGATTACTCTAAACTTCCTAACACTAAAGTAAGGAACACTGGTCAACATCATTTTCTTGGAAGCAAGCTACAATTTTATCAGAATTTGCATGTATAAGTGCATGTCAGGACATTCAAAATCAAAAGATCCAAGCAGAGATTTCAGATCACAGCAAATCAGCAGTTGTGAGCAATGGAGCATTAGTCATATGACCTTGTGTAGCAGATAATCCACAGAAAAAAACTGGAGTTGCATCTAATTAAGGATGAAAAAAGCTGATATCAAATTGAAAGCTAATATCAGTAAACATTGCCAAGCAAAGTTAAATATCTTGTATAAACAAGTGTAATTTCCATACAATTTTCAACTGGAAAAAGGGTATGTCCCCTTTTTACTTTCATGTCTAGCTCATTTCCTGATCTATTAGTTTTAGCAGCTGTATTTTTCATAAATAAAAATGGTATCTGGCAATGCACAAATTATGGCTGCAAAGAAAATGAGAATATAAGAGCCATAGTCATGGGAAAGTAAAGAAATAAAACCAAAGTGATTGAGAAGGCAAACTCTTTGTGGCCAGCTGTATCTTTGGTTCTCTCTTAAAAACAAAAATCTTTTGCATTTTCCCCTTATTTTAAAGATCTATATGGAGGGATAATAGACAAATTTATATTATTGAAATTTATCCCCACAAAAACATGTTTAGAACCACAATACTCATTTCTAATGGTTCATGTTCCAGATAAATTTTCTGCAACACTAAGCTACAGCAATAATCATTTATACTGCATTTCAAAATGTTTAAGCAATTGATCATTGTGGAGGTTTTTTTGCAAAATAAATATTTAGGTGCTACACAGCATCTAAGCAAGATTACTAAACAACAATGGTACTCTAACCATTATTATTCAAGCTCAGATCTGTTACCAAGACATTACCTACTCTAATGGTTCAATAAGTAACATCTTTCAATCAGTGATGATTGGCCCAATCAATTTTAAACGTATCAGCCGGAATAATCATTATCAAAGTCTCGTATCTCGAGGATACTGCTGCAGTTTTCAGACTACAGTCCCCGTTGAACTTAATACACTTTTGATTATATGTGCTGGATTGCAAAACATCATTTTGAAGGAGTATTAGGTATGTTTGCCATCCTAAGTTATATAAAAAAACTGGGATAACAATCAAATAAAAATAATCATGTTATTATGTCATATATCATATCATATAAGCATAGCTGATGCAAAATTCTTATAAAAGAATTTTTTTTAATTGACATATTTTTATTTGACCGGCATCTTCGGTGGAAGTAATTTAGAGAACAGCACTGTTTAATGTAACCGGAGGCAGGGCAGTAAACGGAGGCAGGGAAAATCAAAGGCTGACTAGCATGCCCGTACATGCCAGCCTCTCTAGACATTCCACTTAAGATTATTATATTTGTTTACCGCAATAAACGACATAAATTTAAATGGCAATAGGAGCCAGGAAAAGAGATATTTACTTTTCTTTAGGATTTTGAAAAAAAATACCTAAGAGTACAGGGCAGACATGGGAAGCTTGCAGCAGAGAAAAGGGTAATAGCAAAGGCCCTGCAAGAAAGGTCAAACACAGCTTGCCTGCTCTACGTCTGGCTCAAATCTAGACAAGCTTCAATTTGATTAAGCACAAAAGAGCCTGCTCTAAAAATAAAAGGTTTTGTGCAATGGCAGCATCCTTATCTTCCTGAACCCGAGCCTTGTAAACCTGTGCACGTTCTTCTTCTAAGTTTAATTATAACTTTATCTTTATTCTACCTTCACACAAGGCTAAAAATGAAATCCACTTGTATTTTTAAAAGGCAGAGTAGAATATCAGAGAAAATAGCCTAAAAAGTCCAAGTGCAGTTTAAAATATATTCTGCTCTGGGAGATTAACATAATCCTTGTCTGGGCACACGCAGGAGTGGAGCTCCTTTGTTCTCCAACTCGACTTTATGTAGATTTTATCCAAAACAGGCAGCAGCTTCCGTATGCGGGCAGATGACTGCAGTACCATACTACCTTAAATGTAGAACAGCCCTTCGCTTGGTCAACGTTTGAATGCTATGCCTATTAAAAGGGGAGGGGTAAAAGTTGGAGCTCCTATTTCACTTGGATTTTTTCTTAACCCTCACTTGCCAGGGGACTGACAATAAGATCCTTAAAATACAGCTGCAAGCTAAACTGCCCAATCACCCCTGTTTTTGCCAATTCAAAGGCTGCTTTGAAAAAACGACTTGGCTTGCAGCATTCTTAGTTTTCCTAAGCTGAAGCATTTAGCTCAAACAAGGGCCGGAAAACAAGACAGGAGATGCTCAAGTTGGCCATTCAAGCCCAGCGTAAAAGGCAACTTACCATGGCAGATTATTCCTCTCTCTCAAACACACAGTGGAAATCTGAGGGATCATTTCCACAACTTTCTTAGTCGGTTCAGAGATGTAGCTTTTGTAGTCACAAAGGGTCTCCTTTTGCTGTAAGAGTTCTTGCTTGGCGTATTCCTTGAGCCTTTTGTATAGGGTGCGCAGGCCCTGGGCAGTGCGAGGAGGGCGGTCAACTCCAATGGCATTGTAGTTGTCAGCTATGATGTCCCAGCATTTGTTTTTTTCCACTATGACTGAATGTTTGTTGGTGTGTTCCTCCAGAATATTAACATATGGCTTGACAAGTTTCAGCAAATCAAGCTTTTCAGACAAAGTGAAATTCGAGGATCTGGCCTTCCCAACCATCGTCCTCTCCAGCCTGAAGATGCAGCAGTTCCTGAAACTACCACACAGATCCTAGCTCTGCTCAGCTCTTTTTCACAAACAGAAAAAAGATCAGGCTTAACTAGGCTTGTCTCATTTAGGCCCACGCCTACAGGGGAGGGTTTATTAAAATTCCTTCAGCTTAAGCTGACGCAGGTTCGTGAAATCTGGTTAAGCCAAGCCTGACCTACATAAGGCTTCAGACTGAAGGAGAAGAGAAGACGGAGGGGAGGGGGGGTATTGCGCACGCACAGACACTTTTGTGCAAAACCCCCCCCTACATTTAAACAGGATTGAAAACATAAAGGTTTAAAGATTAGCACGTTACCCTGCCAAATATTACCCAATTCATCCTGAGTTTACGAGCTTACACACATACATCTCTTTTGCTGACAGAAAAAAAAGGGACTGCACAGAAGACTGAATTTATTCATGCCCAAGAAAAGAACAACTTTTTATGGGGAAGGGAGGCATTTATTGGTTATTAAGCTGAACCACCTCTGCAAAAAGGAGAGAGAGAAAAAACAACAACAAGCAAGATGACTGGATTTAGAGGAGGCGTGTGTAGAGAGATCCCTAACAGAGCCCCCAGATCATGGTTCTGTTCCCCAGCGGCTCTTCTCTCAGGCTCCATTTGCATAATGCTAGTCCTGCTGTCAATCAGGAATTGCAGATTGCCTAGCTAGTTAGGTTTCACTCAGGGTCGGGCTTCGCAGCAAAGCTAAGCTTCCCCAGCACTTTGCAGTGTGGCTTTGGCTTTATGCGCGCACACACTTTTTAAAGAGGCAGATGCTCAACAGAGCAAGGACAGGAATGAGCAGAAAACTGGGTCCCCTCCTTACAGCTGCAGTTTGTCCTAAATATACAGCTCATTACAGTCAATTATCACATGGCAGAGAACACACCTCTCCAGAGGTGCACCTTAAGGACGAGATTCTGGTTGCCCTTTTAATGACCTTCAAATGAGCTAGGCTAAAAAAGAGTCATATCCAAGCAGGAAGGAGCTAGGATGGATGCAAGTTGCTGCAGACACGGAGGATGCTAGCTTGTGAAAGGCTGCCATAGCAATCTTGTGATAAGAAATTCAATCATTCTGTCAACTTATTAGCTTGTAATGTAACAAGAGCAGTGTGGCTCTTTAAGAATTAGTCAATTTATTATCACATAACTGTCACTGATCACAGTTCTACTTTACGTATGGAATACAGTCCTGAGGAATATTATCCTTACACAGCACTTCAAACTATTTTCGCAACCCTTCAGAGATGTAGGAATCAAATTAAACTCAGGTCCATTTTTACTTTTATTTCCAAATCACAAAATATTCTCTGCTTCACAGGAAAGTTATATAAAGACAGGAACAGGATACTCTGATTGCCTTAAACACTTTGTGTCATCAAGGCCATCACCTCCTCTACCTAATTGGTTGTTGTAATGAACAGACAAAAGTTGTAATTTGTCTATAACAAAAGCATTCACTGGGATCACACGAGTCATGGTTTGTTTAATCATAGTTTACCAAGTCATGGCTGGCTTGCTTCAGCTAATCAATATTTTATATTATAATATTTTTGTATTATAATATTTATATTTTTTTTTATTTTCAAGCTCCTGATCAAATGGTTACATTCCCACAACTTACAAGATTGAAAACCAAATAAGTTATGTTATAGCTTAATTGAGGTACAGTATAAAATCTTCCCGCATATAATGGAATACAATTAAATTGCTTGCCTTTTCTCAGTGTTTCTTTTTAAGACTTCATGATCAAACACAAACCCCTGACAATTAACAAGAAATAATATTTCTTCCCATAATAGATCTGAGAAACAGTTCTGGAAAAGTCAGAAATCTGCTCACTAAAATATATGTTATCAAATATAGGTTTTAGAATAATTTTCTTATTGAACAATATTGGGGGTTTTTTGTATTTTTTTTTTTAAATTTAAGGACTATAAATAGAAAGTATTCCTTGGAATGCTCTAGCTCAGAGGTCCCCAACCTTTTGGGCACTAGGGACCGGTTCCGTGGAGAGAGGTTTTTCCGCGGACCATAGAGTGTGTGGTTTTGTGTGCTGCCTGCATCTTGCAGATGGGGCTTTGTTTTTTATGCGGACCGGTTGCTGGCATGCCACGGCCCAGTACTGGTCCACGGACCGGGGGTTGGGGACCCCTGCTCTAGCCTGAATCAAAATCTAAAAATCTCTAACCCACCACAATTGTAGATGTAGTTTTATTTATATCAAGGATGAACAATCCTTAAAAAATATTAATCGCCACAGTCATCTTTATGGAAAGATCTTCCCTCTATTTTATCATTATGATGTTATTTCTCTTTTATAATGTTATTATTTTTACTTAAATTCAGGCAAATGAAAGCAGAATCTTAAAAAACAATGAAATACAATTCTGAAAATGTGAACAAAAATTGGGGAAAAAAACCACCAAAATTTAATAACTAGATATTTTGGACAAGCTGTAGCTGTAAAAGAGAGCAGCTCATTTTCCATTCATTCATATCCTCGCTCTGTTGAGCACGTTCCTCTTTAAAAGTATTAGAAAACTATGTATTCATGGGTAGCAGTTACACATATATTTTTGTTTTACTAGAGTCACTATCATGTTGCATAACACATGATCAGCAACTGCTATACCTTCTCCTAGAAACATGCGGCTGCCTTCCACAACTGCAGTACAAGTCTAGGAAAATATGCAACCATTTTAAAGAACTATATGCAATGCATGTAACATATTTCTGAAATATAATCAGAAACATTGAACATAAAGTTCAAGTCCATCTTATCCAATGATATTAATCTACTACAGACTAAGACAAAGCCTGAAGATAAAATGAGAAGAAGCAAAGGAAGGAGATTTAAACTGTTGAGCTCCTTAGAAAAAAAGTAGAATATAATTGTACTAACTAAAACCTGGACTAATTGATATCGTCATCTTATGTCACTGATGTATTGAAATTATATCATTTCATGATGCAAGTTCTAAACTGTTTTGAAGAAAGGTAAAATAATGGAATAATGTGGAATAAACACCATATGAATGACAATAAACAACAAAGTATGTGTTAGGATATTCCATTCTTACTATTTTTATTACTGAAGTTCCTTTTATACTGTATATGAAGGACAAACTTTACATTATGGTAGTTACTGTTAGTTCCAACCAGTCTAATCATTGTTGTTTGTTGTTGTTTTAGCTTTCTAAGATAAGACTGAGTAACGTCTATCAGAATGAAACAAGTTGAATTCAATGCAAGATTTTTCATAGGTAAGACTGTGGTACCATTTGTTGCCACCAAAAAATAGTTGACAAATACTGACATTTAAGGAACAAGATCACAAAAGCAAATTTGAAATTCAACAGACAAACAAAAGCTGTTGGATATCACTTCATAAACAAAGAACCAAGCTTTTGAAAACATGCCTATGGCCAGGACCACCGTAGTGAGATATGGAAGCACCGCCAGATTCATTTCAAGCTCCATGGCTGCACTGCTGTTGATTCCAATGAACAGAAATATTAAAACAAAGGAAATCAGCAAAATTAATTATCTCACCAATCAATTCTCAAAAGCAATCCTTACAGCAAATACAGAAGATGGAACAACAATTCTGAATGGACAGTGCAAACAGCAAGCCAGGAAGAATCCATTTTATATTTAGGAAAAAGCTCCCATGCTACCATGAAAAAATATATAGTAGAAAATATTTTCTCTGTATTATAGAACTGGAAGAAAATAATCTTAAGTTATTTTTTCAATTGATGTCTCTTTTCCTCTTCCAAAATAAAAATCTTCGAAGTTTAGCTTCTTGTCTATAAAACACTGCAATATAGTTTCCCAAATCCTAGCGGTGCAGCCTCTAATGCATACATAAAACCCTGTAGATTAAATGCTTGAATAATCCTTTAATAGTATGATGAAGAACTGGGATGTATGAAATGTTTTACAATTCAGACAAACAAAGCACATCCATTCATAAGTAAATCTGATTGTTTTTAATCAATTGAAACCCCTTCAGTGTAGAACCCCAATTAGGAGTTACTTAACTAAGGATATTCACCATGTGAATGCTTCAATTAAGGCTCACCGACATCACACATTGTCAACTATTTGCAGGCAATCACAAATTCAGCGTGATCATGATCATCGGCAGACATAAAATATATTTGCATATTGTATGTCTTTAGGCTTTTATTCAGATAACATGGAAGTAATGCTTCCTGAAAAGGGATGGAGATTGTTACCCAGAATATTCAATTGTCAAGTCTTTTAGATCCTGAATATCTGAGCACGGCTTAAGTGACTGTAAATGCATGAGTTTGAAAAGTAGCTCTTGTTTTATATTTCTAATAAATAAATCCATCACAGGAGAAATCTGAGCTGCACTCTAATGATAAAAGATATTTCTGGAAGAATTCCATGAAACAAAATTAATACTAAGGAGGAAACATCCATTTGGGGCACTTGAAAAGATAAGATAACCTTTTTTGTCATTTTTTACTCTGGGCACACTGGCACACATTAAAAATGAAATTCTGTTGCCTGCTCTCAAGTGTACACTACATAACACATATAGACATGCTATATACATACCATACATATATACTTATACCCTTACATATAAATACATATAAATATTAATCACTGTCCATCTTGAATACATAGCGGAAAGAGGAGGCTTGAGAGTTTACAAGCTTGATACTGTATGGAACAAAACTGTGACTGAATCTGGATGTTCTGCTTCAGATACCACAAAGCCTCCTCCCAGACGGAAACAAGGAAAACAGGTCGTGAAGAGGATTGTAGTGTCCCAGACAATCCTGCGGACCTTGCTCAAGCAACACTTATATGCTATGTCCTGGATTGAAGGGAATGAATTGCCAATAATATTTTCTGCCATCCTCACCACTCTCTGCACCGCCTTCCTGTCTGAAGCAGTAAAATATTTTCAAAAGTATTTTAAAAGTGAATCAATCTTAACATATAACTAGCTGTAGGTTGTTCCAGCTTTATAGCTAGTTTTCAGGTTTGTAATTAGTTTTCTAGGATGTTGCTAGGTTGCCCTAGCAGTCTTAGCTGAACTAAGAAAGAACTTTAGAAAGAGCTAGCTGAAGGATTTCCTTGTTCCTCTACCAGTTTGCATCATGTTGATAGACCAGTGGTGGCGAACCTATGGCACACATGCCAGGGGTGGCACTCAGAGCCCTCTCTGTGGCCACACAGGCCATACCCTGGAGATGGCAACCATCCCTCTTCAACCAGCTGTCCACTAACTCGCCAAGGTCCCACATGGCCGGATGCATCCCATCACCCATGCGCTCCCTGGCCTCTATGTGCAGAGGTCGATGATGTCAGGCAGCAGCCACTCCTGCCCCTGCCTCACCTTGCCCTGTGACAATGGCACCCCCGCCCTGCCTTGCCTCACCCCGCAGGACGAGCCTCCTGCCCACCGCTCCACCTGGCAGAGACCCCCTGGATCTCCCCCAACCCTGCCCGGCCCCCACGAGCGTCCCTCCCCACGAGCAACATCGAGGTGATCACACCCACCTTGGCCACTCCCACCCAATCTGCCATGACCACCACAGCCATGCCCACCCAGTGGGCCACACCCACCTGGCACCCGGTGATAAATAAGTGGGTTTGGGGTTGCAGTTTGGGCACTCGGTCTCTAAAAGGTTCGCCATCACTGTGATAGATCAACAATCAAATGGAGGCTGTAACAGAATCCAGCTCATTGATGTAGCTAATTATTCTGAGTCACAATCTTCTTTTGTAATGAGAAATACTATCTTTGGTCATAGTATGAATTGTTCATTTATTACAGCACTATCTTTTTGGCCCATTATACATATTCTTCTTCCTCCCTTTCTTCGTTTATATTGTAGACTCTATTTTTTCTTTGACAGTAAGGCAATCATGTCCTCAATACTGATTTGCTTATCTTTTCAATAGGCCTGATCCACAAAAGCACTCTTTTTCCTTTCCCTAAATGGCCGAGATCTGGCACATAGAATGAAAAAAAGTATGGATGACTTTGCAAGGGGAAGCATTCTGGCCATCTCATGATGGCTCTTGACATCAGAAAATTTTGCTGATGCTTTTAATACAAAGATTGCATATATCATAATAACAATACTCCAACAATTCTTACCATCTCCCAAATTATTGATATCTCTATTAACCCATGTTCTGTTTCAGTAGTAACCATTCAAGTTTCCTCAGCAAATTTTGAGGCACCTGATACTTGCAGTAAGAAAACATATGTGTACAACCCTATATACTGTATATATAATTTTATCAATCTTGCCGATATTTTAGAAACAGCAGCTATTTGTTTGTATAAGTACAGCACGAGTAAATTTACCTTATTCTGAAGAGGAAAAACCTTGCCATCACAACCCATAAAACACAGCTGTCCTGAAGCCAATGTTGCTTAGTTTCTAGTTTCCTTCAGAAGATATTTCAAAAGCTATTATGCTTTATATTAAATCATGCATATTCCTACCTATTTTTGGTCTGCATAGAGATTTCATTCCAGTTTTCAAATGCCCAGTCACCATATTCTTGTTTTCACAAGGCAATTCTTCTTCTTTAGATTTTACTGTTACAGAAGAATGGAAGCCAGAAGTTGTAGAATGAATGTTTACAGAAGTTGGGCTACACAATTGCCTCTTGCACACCTACAAGACAGAATATATATCTATTATGGAATATTCATGCAACAATTTCAAAATAAATATGTGCCTCTCCTGCCGGAAGACTCTGAAATACCAAAGCCATGTCCTTTAGGAGGACATTCCTCAAAGGGAAAAGAACCTCATATGAAGACAAATCAGCCTAAATAATGCTCTGTCTAGTACTTACAAGCTACAAAGACATGACTGCATACCCATGAGTTGACTATTCTAAACAGAAAGCTGTTTAGAACATGGAAATATAGATATCCTGGGAAGATCTCTGGAAAAAGTCTTGACACTGATCAGATGAACAGCAAATCCAAATTAACAGATCTTATCCGCAGTTCCTCAGATGGCTCAATTGTGATATAATGAATTAGTTCAACAAACAAAAAAGAAGAGACTCTCTTGAGCTGAAGACAGTTCCCTGTGACTACATGGACTAATACATGCAGGTTTTGTGCAGCAATATGGAGTGAGACACAAGAAACACATGGATATAGAGTTCTAGTCAGGTGTCTAATTTCAATGGATGATCAATTTACAACTGGGAAATCTGGACAAAATCACTAGTTTGTGATTTATAACTCCCTAAGTGCTTCTCTTTTGTGTACATTTCCCATTTTATTTAGAAACCCCCCTTCCCCCAAAAAAATATTACATGAGAAGTCTGCATAGTAAAAAAAAACTTTTAGAAGTTAAGCCTCCAAATTCTGGACACCAAGTGATCTCAAAGGGATGAAGCTAGGACCCATTTTTATAGTCTTCCATAATGCATCCTGATTAAACAGAAACAGAATGTCTGAGGAATGTGTAAGAATGCAAATGAACTCATGACTGAGGAAATAGGATTGGGTAATTTGTACATCTGCCTTTTGAAAGAGCATATGAACTAAATTGGTAATTAGCTAATTCTTTTTTGTTGAAGACCATTTTGGAGTTTTGTTGCCTCAACTCCAAATATGAGGGCAAATTTGGATATTTCAGGGATGGCCAAGTGCAGTGATTAAGCAATATGTGTAAGCTGCATGATGATTTACACAACCTCCAAACCAAACATAATATTGTATAGCAAAAAGATACACATGCTCCTGATATCTAATATTCTGTGTGGAGAAACTTTTTTTGTATGAAGGAGAATTTGAGTTTCCACAAGTTATTCACATTAGTAATATTAATGTCTTTGTGATCTTCTCTTTTAATATTACCTCATCTGTTTTAATTTCTGGATCTACATATTCAGATGTTTTCGGCAGGATTTTTCCTGGCGATATAAATCTTGGTTTTTTGGCTGAATGCCCCAACAGTTGACTTGGAGCTGCTGATCGTCTCATCTTTGGCTCTGTTGATTTGAAAAATAGCAATCAGGAAGTGTGAAGCAAATTCAGAGTCTTTGAAAGCCTACTGTATGGATCCAAATACCATACAATCCAGGAATCTGATTTAGAAATAACTGGTAGCATTCCTGACCATTCAGGTTCTACCCATGTCTCTAACAGAAGAAAGTTCACCACTTCCTGAAACAGATTCTTACACAATCAAATACACTTGTCATTAAGCTGTTTCTACTAAGGGTAACCAAATGTAGACAAATCTCTTTATATAACATAGGCTTCTAGCTACATTATATCTAGACATTAAAGTAAAAAGCTGAGGAATTAAGAAGTATCACTGCCCTTACTCCTTCTCTAGTTAGTATATTTTTTGAGTTAAGTGTTGAGGAAGAAAGGACTTTTTCTCAGATCCTTTAGGAATTCCAAGGAAATGTCAGTAGCCAGGCTGATGTGGGTTTTTTCATCATATAGTTTGGTTTTTGCACTCTATATGTTACTTATTGCCAATTTCATTACGGTCATTACTGTTAACCACTCTTGACATGTGCAGGGTTGGGGTGCAAGTGCTGCAATAAAATGTATACTGTAACAAAATATGATTCTTATAGCCGCACCATTAACCTTTCTGGGTCAGTCCAATACACTTTCTTAACAATGCTCTTTTTTGACAATAATAAGCCTCTGGGTACGAGCAATCATGATTATGCCATCAGAGCAACATTTTCCATGCCCACTCCCTGCTTTTTGTAAGACTCTGTCCAATAAAAATATCTGATGACCTCATTCTTGTAAGGTTTTATTTTTAATGTTATGAAATATGAAACTGCTTTAATAAGGTAGATCAAAGAACCAAAGGGTTCTGAGAACATACAGGTTGCTTTTCAAACACGGTTTCAAAAATGCAAATAATAATAAT